AAGGATTTCAACGAATCCAGAGTTACTTTGATGTCCTGGACGACGTATTTATGACATTATGGAATCATCGTAGCTCAGCAAGTAGTTTAAAGGGTCAGTCACTCAGCGAAATCCTTTATGCAGATTGGGTGGCATGAACAATGAATTAATTATGCTCAGTTCAAGAATCATTTGGAATTTCGTTTTTCAAAATCCTTGTTTCCATACATCGTCATGTACCGCCATTCGCCTTCACCCACCAGGGAGCTGACTGTTCAGTATGATAATCTGCACACTGTTTTCTGTATGTTCAAAAGCAGTGAAGTTGCCACTGTTTTTTTTGTTTGGTTTATGGTAATTATTCATGGCTGTCACAACGACAGAAACGAATAAACTTGATTGTACTTAAACCTGGCCTTAGTCTGCCTTGAGGACAAAGAGGAAATTAATTGTGAATCAAGAGACTGGTCGAAGAAGCACTGTTTAAATGAACATCGATGAGCATTGACTTGTTCAATGCCCAGCATATGAGGATGCTTATCAGACTAAAGGGAAAGGAGAACAGGACGGTTGTAAGGCTTAGCTTTTATACCCAACGGATTGCTTCGATGTCCTGAACGGATATGAACAACAGAACTGCGTCGAAATGCTAATACTCCGACTGGTGTTTGTTGTCAGCAAGAAGGATTACATCCTGAATATCATTATAATGACATATTCGACGTAGTCCCAATTACAGAAAACCTCATACAAAGCAGGTGCCATTAGTTCAGTGAAAACAGGACCGGAAGAGTAGGCTCAAAATTTTGTCAAACCACTGGTACTGCCAAAGAAGGGATGACTGGGAAAGCCGAAGAAAAATTGGCGATGAATATCGATGTGGAAATGCAATAAGTAAGCGAAAGTTCGACCAAAAACACCGAGCAAATGTACTGAGCAGTGAAATATTGTTAAAGCAAACACGCTAGGAAAAGAAGACTACTTCAACTCACTATGTAGTTTAGTTCTCATGATTCAGTCGTTGCCTCCTATCACTCTTCTTCACGTGATTTCATGGCAAGAATTAGGCAATGACCTGTACGACACACGTAGGGGCTTGTCAAGAACTTCCAAATGGTCAGCTAAGGAATAAATGGCTATCTTTAAAAAATGCCGGTCTAGACGAAAAAGGTATTGAATACAAATCCAGAGGGAAAGATTGAGAGTCATTTCTATATCCACAAAGAAAGCATGAAGAGATTTTACCAGCATGCAATCACCTATTTTGACAGAGGACTAAGTTGAACATACCAAGATAGATTGAAACTTGCAAGTTGTAGATACTGGAGCTGAGCAGGTGCTCGGCACATTGTCCAAAGACCAAGGTTAAAAACTGCCATTAATTAACGACGCACTCTGTAATTACGATTTCAACAGAAGTTGAATGAGTCAAAAATTCCATGCAGTTGAACAACTAGCTCTCGTCGAAAGCGTGTGTATTATGGTTGTAGGAATGGGACTATGAGTCAAGTTCAAGAAGCCAAAGGCTATGAAAACTCCTTTCGCTAGCCACTGTCTTAGAATACGAAAAAATTGCACAGCGACAGATGAGAGTGACCATTTTCAGCATCTTTAAGGGTATTCACTCAAAACATGATGACATTGAATTAGAGTTAAATCAGTGTATTGAAAGACCTCATAAGCTTTTCGGTGATCACACCAGAACACCGGCTGTTCGTTCGGTTTCAAATCAGCGACATTCTACACGTTTCTCGGATGGTTACATCAAAGAGGGCAAAAGAAACTATTCACTCCAAATTATAATCAGTTCATAAGAATCAGATGTGCGAACCTCACTGAACCTAATCTATGATGAAGGCATCAAAGGAGATGGCCGTCGTTACTGCAGTCAAGAAAGAACAAGGAGTTTTGGTCATTAAAAACATTCCTGCACCGCTCCTCTCGATGCTGATGAACCGTTCCTCCTGCCCAACAGGCCGCTGCTTGAGCTCTATCACTACCACGTGGATAGAGTTTGATACTCGTTTTCCTCTTCATGAAACGTAATACTGTGATATAACTTTCATGGCACTTTCGCTCTTCAGTAAGCTGACTGCAGGAAGAGTTCTGTACTTCGAACCGCTCTATTGATTGATGTTACAACGAAGCTGGTTAAGCTTCTCGATTATCACAACGACTACTGTGGTTCATAATGTTTTCATAATGTTTTCTTTCTCTATTGGGATCTGTGTTCAGCCTGTTCCGGTCACCGTTTTACGCAGTGAGTCAATCTGCTTGATTTTCCATTGAGAATTTTGCATTAGCATTATGTGCCATTTCTTCGGTTCCATTATGATCCATAACTGAGAAACACGTCAATCGCGGTGGATACTCTATTTCTAAGTCCATCTCTTCATGCCCCTTAAAAAGAGCGTTTAAATTTTTAATTTAAATTGATGATGAGCGTCTGACGCATCACAATTATAGAATTCCACTAATACAGACCTGCTTCCAATTACGACGCTAGACAAGCGCCATTTCTGCAGTTCAGTAGAGCAGCTCCTCATACTCACGTTGCATGTACATGGCAAAGCTACCTCTCTGTGTTTTCCTGATCTTAACAATTTTACATGCGTCCATGAGGTTCTTTCATTTTCTTTTCCTTACGTAATCAGTTCATCGCTGTATTGATTTTTTTGTTGAAGATGAGTTGTTGTTGCCTGTTCACAGGATAGATGGCATGACGGCGACAAGAGAGATGCAATGGGCGGCAAACTGACTTTCTATTTTAGAGGTGTCGATTAAAATTTCATTGGTGACGCAAACTTTTTTCTATTATTATATTCATAAGCCGTTGTCGATCAACTTCTAAATGAACGCCTCTGGAAGATTTGTCCGCAAAATTCTACCTCCTGCAGATTTTACACACGTTGTTCTGACAAATTTGCCTATGCTCACCCTTCCAAAGATCTGGAGGTCTTTCGATGGGTTGCTTACTGTCGCTTTGAATCTAGATTAACACCTCTTATTCTAGCAACGAATCCTACTTATTGCATGAGTACTCTCTTCGCCCTTCCAGTGGTATTGCAGATTTCGTTTGTGCTTTTACCCATCAGTTCATGTTCTAGTTTCTTCCTGCTATTCTCAGCATCATCCCATGCTGTGCTGTGCAACGCAGTCTGGCGTTTGTGAGTAGTTGCCAGGTACTCTCGCGTTTTGCGTTCAAACTTGAGTACTAAGATAACAGAATGATTAGAAACTCACCGTTACAAACAAACGCACAGTTTCTCTTCAAAAAAAAGACATTTTCAATCTTCCAAAAGTGCTCTGGTTGTGTGTCAATGTTACTCTCTGTTGAGTTCTCAGAACGTCTCTTCAAGCTTTACAGTGCAACTTCACGACATCACGCATTTGTTAAACATGACAAGGGTTTTTTTCAGGCTCATTTTCAGTCCTAGTATGATTCTGGCGTCGTTCAGCCTCTGAGTTATTCCTTAGAGTTTTTCTGGTGACCTTGAAAATCGCGGATGGCTTCAGTAGTACCCATTTTTGTACAGCTTTTGATTTTCCCAACGAACGAGTGTTGAAACCCTCTCCTAGGACTGCGGGAAGTAATTTGCATGACATCCCGTTTCCCGACGGAGGCCGTTTTAGACTTTGAACTTGTTTTTGTTTCTTGAAGCTTCATATTAGCAGCGCCATTCTTGAAAAAAGATATTGAGATATCAGTACCATAATATTATTGATATCTCAATATCTTTTCTCGATTCCGTAACTTCTCGAGGAATCCAGTACGGACTAAGCGTAAACCAAGTCGAAAATCTTCTCGAGATTGACGAATCTCAAGCAGTTATATGAACCGTATATTACTAAAACCTACAAAAAACGAATCATGCTAAATCCACGTCTGAATTCTGCTGGCTCCTATGACTGTGTTACATCTAGTTTGCTTGAAGTCAGTTCGTCAATACCTGTGTGAAGAACTTATTACAAGAAACTGATTGGTCTGCAGTTCTTCAAACATTCATTGCCTCCCCTTTGTGTGGTAGAATCAATAATCCCTCCCCTTTGTGTGGTAGAATCGTAGTCCAAACGTCGGGAAATTCTGGAACTTTCGTACATCGTGACAATGTCCTTATTAATTGATAATTTTCCGGAGCAAAGAATTCACCTCAATATGTTTCTGTGCTACCATCCGAGTAAGAGACAGAACGTCGGTGAGAGGTAGACAATAAGGACAGCATATTATTATACTGTGGTCATACTGGAGCTTGCTAGACTAATGACCACGTTTTGTGATGCCGGTGTATTATAGCAATAACTCATCTTGAACCAGTGATTGTCGAATAAAAACCTGTACAATGTGCAAACCTAAAAGTTTATACA